TATTCCCAGGCCAAATCCTGAAGCACTCTCAAGCAAACCCCGTAGACCTTGCTGGAAAAGATTTAGACTCTTGTTCCCAGCAGATCATTTAGTGTTTTTGTCTGAAAATGTATTAGACAGAAGTGGTTCTTGGCTTTCGCTTTTTTCTTTCATAGAAAATATTGGCTCCCATCACAGCCAATTCTCCCTGCAGCACTACCTGTTATCAGGTAATATCAGAGAGGCATTTATGACAGCATTAAGAACATAACCGATAATCTCCTGGCTTGATACCAAGAACCATGTTGGGCAGAAATCAGAGGATAGTGCAGAGAATAAGATGACCTTGACGAAAATAGACCAGATCCGTTACCAAAGCAATGAGGATAAAAAAAATAGCTTAAGCCCAAAACAAGCAGAAAGTATGTGTAAGGGGCTCAGAGAGATATCTCCCTCATTCACACAAGTATAAGAAGGGGAGAAGGCACAGACAAAGACTTGCAAGATTCTGTTATTATAGCCACTCTCAATAAAAATAGTCTTGCCCTTCCTGTGGTGTTGATTCTTGATCTGATTTATCTGGCGGGGCTGACAGATAGGTGATAAATAGCACTATTCTAAGCAGACTTTCCATTCCCTTAAGAACCACATAGTGATCCTAAAAGAAAAATTACTGAACATCATAGCATCGACTTTGTAGCAGTCATGGCATCCAAGTCAGCCAGAATGCAAGATATTTTATTCACAAAATATTCATTACAAGTTTCACAGCTGGCTACTGAAGTTTTCAATTTGGATTCAGGAGAAGAGAGATCTGAATTGGTTCCCTCTTCACTCTCAACAGCTCCACTGGGGACAATATGGGAATGCAATACATGTAGAAAGAAATGCTTCTTTCGTGTATGACTCACCAAAGCTTTCAAGTGAAGTCTATGTTATGTCTCACAGAATTAAAGTCCAGTTTTTCTCTATTTGTGCTCTAGCTACTTGCTTTCCTACTTCAATTCCCATAATTATTTCATGAGGCCAATTTGAAGCAGATGATGCTCAACAGTGATCAAATCTATTGCTGTAATAAGATCCCTGTTCTAGTCTCTACTAATGACAGAATTATAATGGAATTCTGTTTATTCTGTCCACTAGAATTGACATAATCACCAGTGGATCCAACTATGAAACTTTCCAGGATGATTTAGAAGCCTGCTAGAGCCAATAACCTGTCTGAGATAGCCACTGTAATGGGGCCATCTATCAGGAGTTTGTTAGTGACAAGAAATTCTCAGAGCAAGAATATGGAGAATGTAGACATGTAACTGCCAGTAAAGTCTGATTGTGAGAAACAAAAGGTAGAAAATCCATTACATGGAAGCAACACAGGAAGAAAGGGTGCTGGATTTGTATCATGAGGAAATAAAAGTTCTGGATAAATGCTATGCCACTCAGTGACTATAAACTGTTTGTAATTATTAGTGTTTCTAAAATACAACAAATATTAATTCCTAACTGACCTGTTCGAGTCTGTGTGAAGCTACTGCCTTGGGGAACCTAACAATGTTACAGTCAATGCTTACAACTTTATCAGTGGGAGGAGAGCTCAGTGAGCATACAAAGGAGATCAATAATGGCTGTAGATCCAACAAGGTCTACAATTACAATTGGTCACATTGGAAGTATTCTGCTTTGGTATTAACAAGTAGCCACCACATGCATGTACTGGCTGCAGATGCATGTATAGAGCAGCTGGCTCACCAGTGGGATAGAATCTGCCCTCCCCCAAGAGGGAAATTCATAACAGTGCCATACTGCTTGTAGTCATAGCTACTACCATTATGTGTCACCTACCTGCTTTGTTGCCAGAAAAGTATGATAGATTGATGGGCATATGTACTGTTTTCTTGGCTCAAACTGAGAGGTAGCTGTCACTATAACCCGAAGATTTCTCCACCAACCTAGTCAAAGAGGGGTCCTTGATGAAGGGACAACTAACTGGAGAGCTTTCTTACTGATCTCAGCCAGAGATTTAGACAAGTACACTAATTTTGCTAGACATCTGACATGCACCTTGAAGATCCTGGAAACAAGTAACACTAACTGTGAAATGTATGATTTCCAACCAGTGAGTGATTGGTATAGAATTAAATAACTGAATTCCAACTGCTAATGCAAGAATTGGGATGGAATGAGAGAGCCTTAATAGAGCAATAAAAAGAATTGTTGTTTGATGAAATACAGGAAGAACTGGTGCAAGACAGCACTCTGGTTATGTTGACTGCTTTAATCCAGGTCTGCCTAGGCATCCCCCACTCCACCCCCAATCTTCTCCTCTTTCAGAGGAAGCCATGGAGGCATAGTCTATGCTGCTGTAGCCACTTAGGAACACCTCCTTCCCTAGGAGAGGATGTATTATCACTCACTGGTTCAATGTTGTATTGTGAATTGTGTACTTTATCTATTTATGAAAGTGGCCTAGCTAAATAGGTAACCCTAAAAGCATTAGTGCCTTGCAGCATGTGCACTGAACAGGAGGGAGTTAAGGAGGGAAAGGATTAAGGAATCTGATAGTGACCAGAAATTCTCAAGACCAGAAATATGGACTAACAACTGACTGTAAGACATGGAAGACAGAAGTTTGTTACATATCTGAAGAGGGCACTGAATCTGAATCAGAAATTATACGTTCTGGATCAACCTTGATCAACCTTTTAGTGAGTATCAGGTGTCTGTAATAGCTACTAGTCCTGAACTAGAGTAAAGATTTGTTCCTGGATGAGTTGTTGAATGTCCTAGTTTATGATTTCCTGAGGAAGCCTGGCAAACTCTTAAGCCATCCCAGGCAAGTAAACTCTAAGGAGAACATTTAGAACCCCTAGCACCAGAAATCTGGGTGTGCCCAGTACCAACTCCACAATCATTTGAGTTGGTGGCTATAATAAATCTAAATAATAATAATAATAATAATAATAATAATAATAATAATAATACAACCAATTCTGACTCTGCTGTAC